CCCCCCCCCCAAACACACACACACACACTCACATCTGCTTTGGGGATTCCAGTTTGTTTTTACCTGTGCAACTGTGAGCCTGTACTGAATAGCAGACGTAAACATGCTTTAGTGTGGAATAAGACAGGAACGATTTGATGTTGGAGTATTTTTTAACGATACATAGCAATTGAAAACTAAAGTTGTATTAGTTCTTCAGGTCACAATCATGAAAATCTGGCTTCATCCTGTTCTCCGGAATACTGAACGCCACGTCTATTTACCTTTTAAGGGTTGAAGAGTAAGTGGTTTCTTCTATAAAGTGACACAAAGGTTGGTGCTACTGGAATTGTACCTATAGATGGCCTTCTAAAAGTTGGTAACGTTCGAAACCAAAGAAGCTACAGCGGCCAGAGAAACTAGACAGTCTGAATGTGCCCCAAACATTAGTAAAAAAAAATATATAAGGCGCGCAAAGACTTACTCGCATACATCTCTTGCCAAGGTCATGTAATCAGGGTTCATGAACTGTTCCAGTGTCAACTTGTAGCTGTCGAGGCACGTATCCATCTCTGGTTCCAGCTGTCCTCTGCAAGCTTCCATTTTGGCGATCTCTTCTTGTGAAGGCGCTTCTGGCTCCCCGAGACCATTGGGCATCGCACCGGGACCGCCGGCCATGGGCATCTGAGGACCTTGCGGATTTGGCTGCATGGGGGCATCGTTGACCATGGACACTGCTGGGCTTTGGGGCTCTGGTAGCAGAGAAGGGTCAGTATCCGTCTGCAGGGGTTCTTCACCTAGAACGTCGTTGCCATCATCATCATCATCATCATCATCATCATCATCATCATCATCATCATCATCATCATCATCATCATCATCATCATCATCATCATATTCATCATTGTCATCTTTTATCTGGTTATTTGGATTATTATTGCAATCATGAGCGATAAGAATGATAACAATTGTGAATTAAGGGTACCCATTCTTGTTTGAGAGTAGCGAGGACAATTTATGTAAAGCCCTAACAATACAGAACAATATAGGATTTCTCAAAGTCAGGGGTTCAGCGTTTATGTGGTCAGTAAATTATGTAACTCCCATCAGTTTCTATGGTTATCTGGTCCCTGAAGCAGATTCTTATACGAGCTGAGGTTTGATCCCTAGATGAAAACGGAAATATTATACATGTTTTGAGCCCAGGTCGTATTGTGTCATTTAATATTTGTAAACTGGCACCATATTATTAGTATTATTCTGACATGATACAAGAGGATCTCCAAGCGATCTCTTCAGACAAAGATGTTAAAACAACTAAAATTTGACCTAATTCGGACTTGGGTGTTTGAGACTGTTACTGTAACTGTTTACATACCTGTCACATCCGTATCCTGACCAGGACCGGATTGAAATTGGTCATCGTGACCTGTATTGTAGTCAAGACCGTCTGTGGACCGAGCGTGAGAAAGCATTGCAATTTTACTATTTTTAGTAAAGGGAAGGAAGCAAGGAAACGAGAAAAGGGGAAAGAGAGGGGAGGGGGGATAGAGAGGATAGGACGGAGGATAGCGGTGTGCGAGAGGGTAGGGAAAGGGGATATAAAGGGTATACTGTGGAAGGGAGGGGGTGGGAATGATTTATCATATTGTATCGTATCGGAAGGAGCGAAGAGTAAAAGTAACAGAAAATGCATCCTCCTCCTCCTCCTCCTCCTCATCATCATCATCATCATCATCATCATCATCATCATCATCATCATCATCATTATTATCATCAACAACAACAACATCATCATCGTTGTTTAAAAAGCAAAGAAATGAGAGTCTTGCTTGATTTACAGACCCCCCCAAAAAAAATTTTAATGTCAAAAATTTTGTTTTATTGAATCGGTTCGACGTTTCGCCACATCATCATCCTGATCATCGTTGTTTTTGTTCTTAATCGAGTATAAAAAAGTAGAGACTTATGGTAAAAGTATCTTTATGATTATTTAAGTAAAGGATGATATTAACCATACATATGATAATAAACTATAGAGGTGTTTTATGTTCTGTATTTAAAGTGCTCTGGCGAAGCAGACTGACCTCCTGCCATTGCTCTGTCGTTCTGGGGAATGGGGCCTGGTAAGTCAATCCTGAGGAACGAACAAGGAGCAAGTTGTATAATTTCAATTTCATATTAATGATAATGAAATAATAAAAACAATTATTATTATTATTACTAAACTATGATGATGTCGATGATGATGATGAAGATGAAAATAAAGATGATAATATTGATGATGATAATGTTGATGATAAAAGTAATATTAGTCCTCATAATAATAATGGATAAAAATAAAGATAATAATAATGATTATGATAATGATGATAATAATAATCATCATCCTCATCATCACCATATTAATAATAATAATAATGATGATGATGATGATGATGATGAT